CTCGACTTCCCCTGTCTAGGCTTGGGCAACCTGGCAGTATCCCAGCCCTCGTGCTTCCTTCGGGTGGCATGGCAGCTAGGCACCGGAAGAGTGCTACAGCTGAACGGTTTTTTCTCGCTGCTGGTGCCATACGTAAAACAATAAATAACGGTTTTCCAACCGAAGGTGTCGGGAACGAAATGCGCAAAACTTTCTGTTTAAGGCATAAGATCGGACGTTTCTGCGAGGACAAACGATGAGACGGAAAACTTACAGTAAAATACCGGTGGTTGTTTTGCTGTTAGATGACTTCACTACGAATGCTGAGTTGACGTTGTGTTAAGAGGCCCAATAGTTAATTAATCAATTAATAATGAAAATAACAATAATTATATCAGCTGGACTGCTGATCAACCGAATTCCATCCCACAGCGTTGAGAAAAGCAGTCGGCAGACACGCGCTACCGTGCTTAGACTTACTGATTTAGATAACTATACCCCGTTGAAACAAGTGCATGCATAAATGTGAGAATATTCTCAAGGTCGTTAAAAAAATTCCTCGACAGTCTACAACGAGTATAGTCCTTCTTGGAGCCCATGTTTATCCTGTGGGGCGAGATGGCGCAAATTTACTGACCGGAAGGACCGTGGTTCGAACCCGACCTCCGCCTCTCGACTTCCTCTGTCTAGCTTGGGCAACCTGGCGGTGTCCTAGGCCTCGTGCTTCCTTCGGGTGGCATGGCAGTTAGGCACCGAAAGGGTGCTACCGCTGTACGATTTCTTCTTCTTTCTGTTTATCCTATTGACTGGCAGGCGTTGGAAATTGCTCACAACGGTTTCTGAAGGAGAGCAACCGAATCTCGTGTGACAAGCTTCGAACTGCGTCCTGTTACGAGTCTTAGAGACGTTGTACGGACCGACATCAAACTCACATGAGACGGATCACCTCCGCCCACGTTCTGGAAAACCGCCTTCCAACAAGCGGATTCAGGCTTGGAACCAAGCCAAATATCCTTTTCAAACCAAACTAGCCGCAGGCCACGGGCTTACCCCAGTTCTACCTGAGCAGTACATATCAAGGACCAGAGTTTGGAGCTGCTGTTGTTTGAAAGACTTTATCCGGGTATTTCACACCGAGTTTTTCGTTAGGAGACAATCCTTAGGTCTACTGTGATCGGATGTCCTCATTTTCATCACGACCAACGGCAGATCTGTGTTCTGCTGTTTATATTAGGGTAGAAAAGATGTTATGACGCGCATAATTGATATATATGGTATCATATTACATGTATATTTTATATTATTATATGTAGTATATAACAGCACAAATAATGCGAGCCTCAGTTCAGTGTCCCGGAAATAAATTGTGAAAAGTCCTTCAGAATACTTGTTTACGTGAACTGAATCCGCGGATATGCACTGATGAGCCGAAATATCATGAAAACTCGAGTTCGACAGTAAGTCCCCACTTATACGGACCAAGTAGGATAGTAAGGGGGCTATTGACGCGAAAATGACGGGGATACGAATTTTCGAGAATCGCGTAATTATCTACAAATAGCTCTAGTATATCTGTGTGATGTTAGTGACCAAAACTATCGTCTTGCTTGATCGGTCAGGTCGCAACTAGTGTGATCGTCCAATCCGGAAGAGCCCAGTACACACCAGTACAGCAACCGGTGATCCTCCTAGAGCGTTGATTCGCTTCCGAAATCGCCCAACCGATTGGCTCAATTTTCATGATTTGTGCGCCAGACTCCCTGTACTCGTGTGTTGTTCGGAGGTACTCAACTGATCCTCAGGCTTCCTTGTAAATTACTTATCTGGTTTGAAGAAAAACAACGTTTGTTTTGACGGCAACTTTACTCATGCCCTGACAATCTGATGCGCGCGCATGCGTATCGATCAGTCAAGTTTGTTTGTTCGTTCGTTCGTTGATCAGTGCGCTCTATTGATTGTTTAAGTCGAGTAACTGATGTTTACTCATTTGGCGGGGTTGCTATCACGCCTCTCGCCAGGTTCCAAGTAGGATGAACTGGAAATCGCACACGTAAGCGGAACGACGGCTGCGCGACTGAAAAATATCGTGATTCGTGCTATGCTAGCAGTTAACACAGCTGGAGGACTGAACAGTACAGAGGTCATGTGCAGTCTAGAATACTGGCTGGAGGTAAGGTTGATGTCACGCGCTGTACGACTGGAAACCTCAAGGTTGATGGCCTCGGATTATCGTTCAACATTACGTTAGAAACATTGGAACACTACAGAGGTCGAAGGATACGTTGAGCGTTCGCCTGTTGCTGAACGGTGAGAACATTGTAGCACATGCCCACCAATCCATTCGACGGTTTTATTTTTAGATGCCTAAAAATTTACGATAAACGTTTCCCCTAAGAGAGGGAGCTAAGCTTAGAAATATGACTACTGTCTTCCGTTGTCTCTTTACCAACGCAAAGTGTTGACTTGTTCGATTGAGTGATTGCCCTTTACTAAGGAGAGTTATCATCATCAAGTCACATGCACCTGAAATTGGTTACAATACAGTTTCTTGTCACTGAGGCCGCCTGCTCGGTTGGCAACGAAAGTCAACTTTGATGAGTAACTCAACAGCCAAGGTAATCACACAAGTTTGGCTATCACAACACTGACACGGGGGATTTCAACGTCTGTCAAACAAGGACTCAGTTCTGCTAAAGCGTCACCCAGAAGAATTCCGGTGCATAAATGCGAAGAAAACACTGAGAATGTATCAGAAAAAACCCTCATTTCATATTCAAACATACATCAGGACATGTTCACATTTTTGCGGGGTTTCATGTCTATATAAAGTAAATGAGCATTCCTAAAATAGTAAAATTATTAATAATAGTAGTCACGGTATTAGTTAGAGAAGGATAGAGGGGGAAGAAAAACACGGTCGGTTGGGCGGCGCGATTTGAGAAAAACAGGGAGCCAGAGAGAAATGAGAGGGGAAAACGGAAAAGAAAAGAAATCGCGCGAAGGTTCACCGGATCTGGTTGAAAAAATGGACCACACACAGAGAGAGCAGATAGTCCGATCCGAAAAAGAACATTAGCAAGAGAGACGGAAGGGTGGGGCAGGAGAGACAGATAGGCGGAAGAAGAGTTACAAAAGCAGAGGTGGCTAAAACAGTAGTCCAAGAAAATAAAGGCAGCACCTGGCCACGTGAAAGAAATCCCGGGATTGGGGGCGGAAAACACGAACAGTGACCGGAACGGTGTAGGTGCATGATTCTTCTCCGTGACTTTTCAAGCTACCCGGTCAAATCGCAACCCACAACACTGGTGTGCCTGTAGCAAAACAGATTGAAAAAAGACGGCGACGATTGGATAGAAAAACAATACTCCTGAGCATAAGTTCCTGAAGCTAGAGATAGAGAATACACGATTCCAGTGTAGGCGCAGTGGTAGCGGACGGGACACATAGGGGGAGAGGTCATTTCGAGGGCGGCCGGAGGGGGGAGGCGCGGTAAGGTCCCATCCCTTGGAGCGGATGAGGAATGAATGGGGCCTTAGGCTGGACAGAAACGAGATCGGTTTGTTCGACTACAACAAAACCAGGTAGTGTGACAGGTAGGTAGATAAAAATGGCGCTTGTACAGACGACCACTGCAAAAAAGTAAATAAAAAAAACAAGCAAACAAACAAACCAAAAGTGGACCTGATAAAACTAGAAAAGGGAGTTAAGCAAATTGGAGAGGAAGCTGTTCACGTGTGAGAAAAAAGGCGGTGGTGCCAGCAATGAGAATAGATCGCACACACAAAAAAAAGTGACAACCGGTAAGTGTATCCAGGTTCCAGTGTGTATGGGTTGGGGATGGCATTGACGAATGTAGAAGAAAAGTGGGCTCGGTTAACAAGATCACTTGGAAAATCTCCGCAGACATTGCAGAATTGGTGGGGAATGAAAAAAGATCAAAACTGAAGCAGTTGTATGCAGGAGAGAACGACAAAAGTAGATACCTACAAGCATAACTTTCCCACAATCTAAGATTATCCATCATTTCGGAAAAAGTCTTCAAAAAGACATGAAAAAACAGCGATAGGTAGAAGAACGGCGCGCGAGGGTAGGTGGCACTGACAGAGACTTGTGGGCGCAGGTGTACTGTGGCGCAAGATTCAAAACGAAGTGAAAGAAGGGGAGCAATGTTTAGAAAAAAACCTGGGGTCTACGTAGAAACACAACCGGGGTTATAGAGTGAAAGAAATACTCATGGCGCAACGGTGGCTATAGACCGACAATAGGAGAAATTTGGAAGTGTTGGGTAGCGCTAGTAACCACTTGGGCAAAAAGGCAACACAGATAGGTATTTAAATACCCTAACATGCGGCCAGTAAGGGGCTAAAAAAGAGCCGGATGCGGCGCTCAGGTTGAACAGGTGTGCAGAGGCGCGGTGTACAGAGTGATCGGAGAGAGAAAAGGCAAGGAATCGGTGATCCGCATAGGAAAAGAGATAAAAGGTAGGTTTGGTTGAAAAAGATCGACTGAGGTGGTTGTGGTGAGGCGATACAAACAACGCGTGAGAACTCAATGTGTGCGTGTACGATTTATGACCAAAATAGGCTGCAAAAAGCAGCAAGCTGTAGTGGGGAGAGGGATGGGTAGTTTTAGTGGCAGTTACCTTGTTGTTGTGCGTACAGATTACGACAAGTGGAGGAAGAGAGGGAGGATATAGATGATAATGCTGTATTCGGGATGTAACTATAATAAGACGATTGATTTGAGAGACCTGAGAAGTGGAATCCGCCATTCATTCATTCATACATTCATTCACTGTGCAGTTAGTCCGACACGAAAGAGACCGGAGGCCCAGGGAAGGGGAGAGACTTTCGCTAGGGACGGAGAACTACCCCCTTTGCACCAAAAACCTGAGATTGAACCGAAATAAAGAGTGGAGCGGGGACGAGTCAACGCCGCACCGTATCGCACCCGGACACACTGCACCGGGACGTTGGGGGAAAGGGACGAGTGGTTGGCGGTGTTGAGTTCGATCTCGTTCCTCAGTGTGTCGGTTCCGTTGACATTGGCGGGCCACCTGCCATGGCGGCTTCTGCTTCCTCGGCTTCAGTCAACTGAAACATCTCCGTGTAGAGTTCTGGAAAGTCAAGTTCTGGTTTGTCGTGACGCAGTTGAGCAATGACTTGATGATGCTCGATATTGAGCTCCTCCAGCAATGAGGACAGGTGTCGTAGAAGGGTTGTACCTTCCACCGGTTGCCCAGCTAGAGGAAGAGAGTGGGGGAAACAAATTCCAGGGAGCTTCCCGTCAAAATCATTTTCGCATGCACATGAGTGTAGTTCGCTAATTTCGTGCAATTCGGGCTCACGTAGAACATACGGTTGACGGAAACTCTGGGACTGCGCCTAACTGATGAGCCCCAAAAAAGGCGTCGTGAGCGGTCGAAGAGTTTCCAGCGACCATATGAGTAGAGACTTCTGCCATGCATTGACAGCCCTATTAAATATGTCCATTGTATTCATATCCGAAGGGGTGGTAGGCCATCTGGGGTGCTTTGGTCTCCATCCCTTATCTACCTGAAAACGTATTTCTGGTTAACTATTCCAGGGAACTTGGATATCACCGGAGCCTTCAGGAAACGTAAAACTCTGGGACGCGCCTAACTGATGAGCCCCAAAAAAGGCGTCGTGAGCGGTCGAAGAGTTTCCAGCGACCATATGAGTAGAGACTTCTGCCATGCATTGACAGCCCTATTAAATATGTCCATTGTATTCATATCCGAAGGGGTGGTAGGCCATCTGGGGTGCTTTGGTCTCCATCCCTTATCTACCTGAAAACGTATTTCTGGTTAACTATTCCAGGGAACTTGGATATCACCGGAGCCTTCAGGAAACGTAAATCACTTTACTGTAGAGATAATAATTCTTCGTCAAATCTTGTCCATTCTCTTATTCACATGATTTCCACCACATATCCAAAATGTATTCGTTCGGACGACACTCTAACGAAGGCGGGTAGAGGAGTTCCTGGGAAATTAACAGCCAGTCACACCGTAGAGTAATATACACAAAACAGTGACCTGTGAGAATGGGAAACCGTGAGGCACAGATAAAAATAACCACCCGGGGGGTGGATAAAAAGTGGCGTAGGCCAATGCAAAAGGTCACCGCAAAATGCAAGACCTACTTGTGATAATGTAGTCGGTGAGGGCACGAGACGCCAAGTTGTAAAGATGTTCCGTGGCTGGCGGATCAATCAAACCATGATAATCTGTGTTGGAAAGGTAGAAAAGTTATGATAAAAAAAGATAGCAGTGGACAGCAACAGACAGGAACAGACTGAATTGTGAAAAAAAGTGACCATGCTGCACAACGCCAGAATATTTCGCGTGGAGGATTAGTAATGCACCGAGATTTCAGTATCGAGATTGGACCGTTTATGGTAAATGATTGACTCTTCTACGGAAATTCACCTGCCCAAAGTGAGCAATATCCACATACAATGAAATCTGAAAAAAAAACCTCTTCTCTCAGCGCTACCAGCTTTCGAATTTGACTTTACACGCTTACTGCAGACACTTTGATTACCCTGCGTGAACTGATTCATCCGTAATTCACTCAATTTCGAGGTTTCTTACATCCATCCGCAGATTCCGTGAGCTTCTTCTTTGTTGTCACTGACAATCGCGTTTCTAACACGTGGAATTCGAGTGAACACAGTGCCGCCTAGGCGGTGGTCGTAGAAAGGGTGCAGACCCCACCCGTTTTAGATTGTGTCCATTCACTGTCAGCGAAGTTCACACATCAATCAGGACATTTGAGTCGCACAGACAAGCCCCAGAATCCTGATAGTGGAGTCGTTTCACCTACTGATTACCATGCGTTCCATATTACTACTAGTCCGGTCAAATCCCACAGTATGGGGGTGTCGTTGTCCCATAGGTTAGCATAAAATGTTGTCACACAAGTGTCTGTTTTTAAATCTTCCCCACAATATGTCAGTTATGAAACAGAAACACTGTATCAGAAGCGTCTGTAGGCCGGTCCTGATTGTGAACACATACACCGCCCCTACTGGTCCAGCGCTTGAGCTCACTGAATGTGCTGACTCTGTTTCCACCAAAGTAATCGCACTACCGAAGCAACATGCCCTGTGATGTAAATCAGAGTTCGAGAAATACACTCACTTGCAAATCAATTTGGTTTTCACGAGAGACTCGACGGAATCTCTCGTTTATGATATTCTATTGATTTGCAAATGAGTGTATTTCTCGAAAACAGTCCGATTCGGGTTCTAGTAGTACATAAGGTTGACGGAAACTCGTGGCCTGCGCCAGCCTGATGAGCCCCAAGAAGGGCGAAACCGGTCGTAGGCTGCCGAAGAGTTTTCAGCAACCTTTGTGAGTGTTTGCTTCATGAAAATAAATCAGAGTTCCTATTGAGGAATCGCAGATGGTCGGTTACTGCGTCGGACAACTTGATGACTCGGTGGTTAGGGCGCAAATTTACTGACCAGTGGTTCGAACCCGACTTCTGTATTGATAGGACACCCCACCGCACACCCTAAGAACGCACGGATGCGTGCACCTCGAAGGGGAATGGAACGTTTGAAATCAAATGGCAACGAACAAACCAACGACCAGAGTTTTATTGACCTTCTTTGGATTAGAAAAAAGATTGTGCATCGTGTGAACACTACCACAACCTGATCACACGTTCCCATCCCACAGTGCCTATACGATCCTACCCTCGTCATATTTTCTTCAACCAAGTCCCTGTCGAGTGACTCATCAGCACATATCCAATGATTCACGAAAGTTTTACCAAGGGCATGCACACTTACTACTCCAATCCTGAAAAAAAAAACATTTTCTCTGGGTTCGGCTTCCCCACTGTTGCCCGGACGGACCACGTGTATGAACATTGGGTAGGTAACTCTGCTCCATCCATCCACTCCGATTAAATGTGTGTGTGTGTGTGTGCGCGCACAAAATATTCTGTGAAAGCCACAAGTTAATCAACCGTCGACTGTGTTTAGGAAGAGCCGCTCGTTCTGGAACATGGCCAAAGCATTCCATCACAACTTTTGCATTCTTCTGATGCCTGTGGTGTTCTCAAAGAAAGCCAATGTTTTGGTAGATCAAGCTGTTCAAAGCCCCCACTCTCTACAAAATCACCTGTGCTGGTTTCCCTGGATGGTGACCCCGAGACGGGATACATCAATGGTTCGCGGACATGGCCCAGTTCCGCACTCAACGTATCCAGGCTGTTGTCTTCAACGTATAGCATTCCACCACCCTAACGTAAAGCTCACTGACACTCATGTATTCATGCACCAATTACATCAACTATCGCCTCCACCCCTACCTACCCTGGTGACCATACTCAATGTACAGAATGTACGGAACTGACGATGATGATGAACTGTCCACTCTGCATTGCCAGTCGCCCAAATGATCACTGGTATCTGGAAACGGAGTGCATCCCGATATTTCCAAACCCTCAGATCCTGATGACGTTGTCCGCATTCTGTTGCTCACTCGAATTAGCTACCGTCATGATCGGTATCTTCACCAACTTCTTTTCTAAGGGCATTTTCCCCGGGAACCTAGCCTATGATTTTGCAATTCCCAAGCCCTGATCACTTCCACAATCTCCATTCTGTCCAAAGTAGTGAAGTCTTTGCATACCTGTGACCTAGGAAATAGTATCCCGCTAAGATCCCAACCAGGGACAAAGGATTTGGTGAAACTCAGTCACACTGTTCACAGCACACCTACGTCAAAAGCATCGTTTTCAGTGCCCTGAAAGGAAGAGAGCCTTCGCTGCGGTCATTTATTAGAAATGCCAACTGGACAGTTACATACTATTGGGCTGGGAAGCAAAACTCTCATATGCATCTTGTTTACAAAACTGAATATCCAACTTCTCTTTGAACGCGTCTTCCTGGATATTCATGGGCTGTTGCTCAAATCCAAGCAAATGCTACAAAGCGACTCCACAATTCCGTGTAATAGATCTCACTTTTTACAGAGACGCAAAGCGGATTTACGAGAAAACATGCTACTTGCATGCCTTATTATCAGTAGTATCACCGTTACACCCGAATCTCCGACCTAATGAATTTGGAAAAGGCATGCGCTCCGTTATTGGGCTCATTTTAAGCGCCTTTGGTGCACGGTTTATTGCTCACACTCGGGGGTAAGTGTATCAGAACCTTAACCGAAAAAAGTCATGTTACTGGTGCCCCTACAATTTATTGTACTTTAAGTAGGCCCATTCGTGTCCTCCTTATTAACGGGACAAAAGGGCAAAACGGCGTTGTGGTGGTTGGTTTTCTTCTTTGTTGTAGTCCGTCGTCCGGGTACTAGGACAATGACATCGGGGAGGGGGGGACTGAGAAGACAGAGAACTAACTGGACGCAGAAATTTCCGTTCGCATGTGTCAGTGTTGATGGCATTGAACGAGGTCGTCACATTGCCTGATGGCTGTCTTTATGCGTAATTCTTTGGCTCGGTTTCTGTGTTGTCTGGACACGAAAACATATCGTGAGTGTGGTGGTGTGTGTGTGCGCACGTGCGCATGGCCTCGATGCGGGATGAGGCTTATTCATTCGTCACGGTCACCGGTGTGTGTGCCTGCCCGTACGCACGTAACACACGTGCTCGACTGGGCACAACGTCAACAACAATGGACATGAAAAAGAACAGACACAGACTGTTCGGCCCGATTTCCGACGCGCACTTTTGACGACTCCGAATCAGATCAGTCTGGAAGACCGAGAACGAGGCCACATTCATTCATTCATCCATCTCTCTGTCGAAGCGAACGGGAATCGTGACAGCAGCTGATTGTCTGTCTACTATCCGAAGAAAAAAGGAACACGTCGCTTACGCCAAAGGCATGATGATGTCCTCGTTTTTGGGTCGGTGAAAACAAAGACACGGAACGACAGAGTTTCGAGTCCTCGGCATGGTTTGTCGCTGGGCTGGCGTGTTCAGGGCTCATACGAAATCTTTCAAATCGCAACTGGAGTGACCTAGGATTGCACCTGGACTAGGTGTAATCTGAAATGCACACCGAGCGTGGCACGTGGTTCTGTGGAGTTGTGTGTTGCTGGTTCATCACTATTGCCTGGTGAACCAGCACGGTGCAAACCATCTTCTGGGTTCACTGTGTCGGCTTTTCATTATACCTGTATTGTCGTATTATGCATTGTATTGTGAGAGCTGGCTCACCGCTTCAGTGCATTGTGTTTTAAGTTGAAATTATGTATGGATCCGTAAATGAACCGACTCAAAGCGCTAATTCTATGCTAATGCTGGATGATTTTGTGAGTACTATTGTCCAAACTAAACAGAGTAATAACTAATACTAGACAGTCATATCTGTTGGCCGCGGGTGCGCTCCGTAAATGACACGCATCAGGTTAGCCCCGCATAAATGGTGTGATCCAAGTGTCAACTGTCTACACATGATTCGGCAGCCATCATATGGGCTGACGACATTGAGACTGCTCACTCCTGTTCAGTATTCGGTCGGGTTTCTTTAGGTTTACAGGGCGGTCAGTCTGTTGCACGCACGCAGTTCAGTACAAATCACATGCCTCAGAAGTCCTAAGGCTATTTGACGGGCAAGTTTGGAAACGGACTGCTGACACGACCCATCGTAAAATCTGAAAAGATGTGATTTCCTAGAATCTTGTAGCTCATGATGTATATTTCTATTCTATCACAAAGCGGATGATATCAGTCATCAACTTGTACGTCGATTGTATCTCCGCAACCTGCCGTCCTGCCAGCTTTTGATCAACATTTCGCTTGTGCACTGGTTGCACAGAGGCCGTGGCTACAGGCGATCTGTTAGCATACAGGAATCAACCGCAACTAAGGAGTGGTAATCAGTTAAAACAGCTTCCACTGTGGTATTCTCCAACTCAAAAAGAGATCGGGGTATTCAAATGTAGTCTTAATTTAGTTTTAATGACACTCTTATGCGTGACTGAAACGGACTGGAAAAAACGTTAAAGAAACTCAAAGTTGTAAGTGGCTAGTCTCAAGCATGGCGGTCCTGACGATGGAGAAAGAACGTATGAGGAAAAGCGCGTGTGCCGAAAGTGACAAAGACACTACAGAAGCCGCCATTACCTGAGTTATCGTGAAGCGTAGGTACACTGATGAACCAAGCCAATATGCGAGGGAAAGCAACACTCATAGTAGGAAAATGGTGGATACTAAATTGAGTCACCACATGAAACAACTGATGAAACATCTGTAAGTATCGTAATAAGCAAGACAAAAAGATCAATAACGTACGGACAAAACACAAATGTGGAGCGCCCTGGAGGCTTGGATGGATGAACAACCGACGGCGCAACACATTTTAGCGACTAAAAGGTGATACCACGTGAGAAGTACCAAACGTTATCATTCAATAGAGAAGCTTGATTTCGTTCATAACATGTCAGAGAAGGTACTGGCACTCGCGTAATGTACTAATTTGCACACTAATTAGGTCTTACGGAGAGACTTAACTGAATCCGAGATAAACGTCTCGTTCATGATACCCTTTAGTTGGGGATCAGTTGAGTCTCCAATGCAAACTAAATTGCTATTCAGATGAGTATGTTCGTCATGCTATGCTAACGCTGAAGAGAGTCTGGTCCAGGTTAGGGTTACCTTCACTATTGGAAGTCGTTATGTGCGCATCTAAACTCGCAGGTGTTGATAAACGTCAAAGATGTTACCGAGCCTTGCCATAACAGTTCTCACGGAAGCTTTCCACCGAACATATTGATGCCGAGCATGTGGCTTCAGCTTATCGAAGGCTAAGTGGGATCTATCGTCTTTCCAGTCAGCTTCTAATGACCCTTTCGGTGCCCAACTGCCATGCCACCCGAAGGTTGCACCTGGCTGGATACTGCCAGGTTGCCCAAGCCTAGACAGAGGTCGGATTCAAACCACAGATTTTCTGGTCTATCACTTGGGTCATCTCGCTCCCTAATGACCATCGAAACGGTTTCATACGGAAAAAGAAAAGGGGTACTGACAGAGTACTGCATCTGCTCTCGTATTCAGATGCCAAGCCTGATGAGACAGATAGATTGTAGCCTCACCTTGCACTGTGTTTGGTTCTTCCAGTTTGAGCATTTCACGAAAACCCATACAAAAGAGGTTAGTCGAGTCAAACCCATCGTCACCGACCAATGTAAGTAGTTCACGAGTCCTAATTTACACCCTTCGTAAGTGCAAACATACGGGTGGCATAATTTCAACCGTCTAATTCGGCCCCGTCTTCAAACCGTGTATCCGTACCACCCATATGTGCCATGCAGACAAGGACTATCTCACCATCAACACTGATGAAAAACGTCAGTGTGTGTATACTAGGCCTAACAGAACTAAGACCATATCAAGACCTGTTCACGTCACACCAATATGGGAAACCACTGACGCCAGAAGAGTGCTAGACCTCGCCAGTTTATAGAACGAGAGCGACGGTAACCAATCGACCGTAGCTGTATATCCATAGCCTTCCTAGGTCCATGTTCTATGTCTAATGGAGTTATTAGAACCGACTACTACTAATAATAATAATAATGATTATAGTAATAGTAATCGTTCATCTGTAACACCTTTTTGCTAAGTAGCTGCCAGGTTGCCCAAGCCTAGATAGGAGCAGTCGATATACTGAGGTCAGGTTCGAACCACGGGCCTTCCGGTCACTAATTTGACGCCTTGACCACCAAGCTATCCCGAGCTTAACCCGGAACCGATGTAGATGCTGAATGCAGACTGACGCCAAAGTTCCATCGGAAAATTCGGGTCTCAACTGATTTTAGCCAAATTTATCCAACTGTGGTCGTGCTTTTCTAAAAAAAAAAACCACAGATTTTCTGGTCTATCACTTGGGTCATCTCGCTCCCTAATGACCATCGAAACGGTTTCATACGGAAAAAGAAAAGGGGTACTGACAGAGTACTGCATCTGCTCTCGTATTCAGATGCCAAGCCTGATGAGACAGATAGATTGTAGCCTCACCTTGCACTGTGTTTGGTTCTTCCAGTTTGAGCATTTCACGAAAACCCATACAAAAGAGGTTAGTCGAGTCAAACCCATCGTCACCGACCAATGTAAGTAGTTCACGAGTCCTAATTTACACCCTTCGTAAGTGCAAACATACGGGTGGCATAATTTCAACCGTCTAATTCGGCCCCGTCTTCAAACCGTGTATCCGTACCACCCATATGTGCCATGCAGACAAGGACTATCTCACCATCAACACTGATGAAAAACGTCAGTGTGTGTATACTAGGCCTAACAGAACTAAGACCATATCAAGACCTGTTCACGTCACACCAATATGGGAAACCACTGACGCCAGAAGAGTGCTAGACCTCGCCAGTTTATAGAACGAGAGCGACGGTAACCAATCGACCGTAGCTGTATATCCATAGCCTTCCTAGGTCCATGTTCTATGTCTAATGGAGTTATTAGAACCGACTACTACTAATAATAATAATGATTATAGTAATAGTAATCGTTCATCTGTAACACCTTTTTGCTAAGTAGCTGCCAGGTTGCCCAAGCCTAGATAGGAGCAGTCGATATACTGAGGTCAGGTTCGAACCACGGGCCTTCCGGTCACTAATTTGACGCCTTGACCACCAAGCTATCCCGAGCTTAACCCGGAACCGATGTAGATGCTGAATGCAGACTGACGCCAAAGTTCCATCGGAAAATTCGGGTCTCAACTGATTTTAGCCAAATTTATCCAACTGTGGTCGTGCTTTTCTAAAAAAAAATCTCGTGAATCCTCGTCAAAAAGTGATTTAACTTGATAACTTCTATATGATTCTCCAAAGTTAGATGAAAACAGTGTCCCAGCCGGCAGTGACCGCAGCCAGTAGTAGCAACACAACTTGGTCGCAAGATTGCTCAGTGGTTAAGCCGCGAAACTACTGACCAAAAGGTCCGTGGTTCGAAACCGACCTCAGCATATCGACTGCTCCAGTCTAGGCTTGGGCAACCTGGCAGTTTCCCAGCCATCGAGCTTCCTTCGGGTGGCATAGCAGCTAGGCACCGAAAGGGTGCTACAGCTGCAGTCCCCTACAGCGCACCACATTGGAACCACATTAACTGTGAACGCGAGTTGCTAAGACTGGGGCTCAAATACCCATCCATTCTGAGATGCATACCTTGATTCAAATAATGCTCTTTTCCGGTGAACAGTTTCACTGAATTTTCGCAGTAAAACAAAGAAACATGCTCCCTGTTTCGCAGACTAAGAATACATGAATCGTAACCGAGAGGAAATAATCACAGCCACAAACTTGCTCACAACAAAGATTGGATCTCAGAACGGTCACTGCCACTTGTTGATACAATATACTGTACGTCTCCAGAGTTGGAGCATAATCTAGAAAGACGATCAGCCCAAACAAAGCCGACAGGGAGGCGTGGTTGAACCATGAAATTCGAAAAAATGAAGGGGAGGGGATTAGGGCAACAAGGAGCGCCCGAAAGCTGCTCCAGCTAATCTTCAATACAGGACCCAAGAGACCATCTGTTGATGAATTTATAAGCGATAATATTGCAAACCTAATAAATAAATGGTAGGTCGCTGAGTAGGATAATTTAAACAATGGCTTTGTGGTTAGTCGGCTTCGATGGCTAAGTGTCTTTCATCTAACACGCTCGATTCGAGCCTTAACCAGCGCCTGAGTTTATGAAGTAAAGATATGCAGTTCTACCTCACTATCGTCTGTCCAAAAACGTGCTGCTTTCTTCTTGTTCACCATGCGAGACGGAGACGATTGCTGTGAAGCTGAGTGCGCTCTCCTGACCAGGTTCCCGTGCACGCAACACGATGTGCTGCAGGATCCGGAGGCGTAATCGACTTCGTTGGTTAGAATACTGTCACTTTCTATAAGGATTGTTCAGCAATTCTGTCGTGGTACACTGGGCTCGGTTAGTGGAAGATGCTGGATCGATCCCAGAGAGGGTGTCTTATTCCGACAGGATGCTCAGCTTTGCTTAATCTGATGATAGTCGGAGGTGTAAGCATATTACCCTTGGTCATGTTCCCTGGGAACGCCGTCCTTCCTCTTCCTTTTCTTCATCTCTTTACTGAGGTGCTATTCTAGAATAGAGTATGGCATAACGCTGCTTTCATATGGTGCGCTCACGTCCCCAATCAGTAAATTATGTCGAGATGATGGTTGCACGAACGGCTCAGAGCAAACCACACCTATTCTGCTTGGGGATCCATCGGCAGAGTTCGGTGTGACAGGTGAGTCCGGAAACGGATAACAACCCGCTGTACGAAGAAAATGTTATTGAGTCGAGTCTTTCCTACGAAAAACCAAACGAAAACAAAATTTCATGCAACAACGAAGACAACAACAACAACGACGGATGTAGCGACTTACGTTTGAACACCTCCTGAGCACAGACCAGCGCCAATTCGACACTGTCCAACCGAATATCGTCCAGAAGCTTTCCCGACCGGACCAGGTGAACAACCATGGCGCGGAACGTGGGGAAGTGTTTGTGAATGACTTCCCGTTCAGATTCGCTAGTAGCGAGGATATAAAATAAATAGAGAGTTCGAAGCGGTAGAGTGCGATCAGTGGAGAAGAGAAACAGGTAAACTCGCGCGAAAAAGGTCATTATAGACAACACTGACCGATTGCAGTCAACCGAGAGACAACCGCATTCATGTTGTCACGGTTTGCGAATACAGACAGACAATGGTTTGTCACGGTGCCAAACCACCTTACTGGGTTGATGGTACGACATCTGTGGGACGTGTCGACATGGAAGCCGACTGGCAAACTGTCTGGACTTATGCAATCGGCGAATCAATAGATTGAAGTGCGAATAGTAGGATAAGTGGAAAACTGTAGATTTCCATGCTAGGACAGCCTAGCTGTCAGCCAGATAGAACAAGTGTTTAGTGATCAGACTGATATAATTCAGGAAAGGGACAGACAGAGTATGAAATCAACCGTGTCTGAAAAGTGGCAGTAACAGATGGCGGTAATTTACTGATTCATAGCCTGGTACCTAATGACTTCGAAATTAGAAAACTGAGCCAGGGGAATGTTGTTATCCCTTTCCTATTCGCTTCTACGTGGAGATCACATGAGAAAATCAACCAAAAGTGATATATACTCTAGGATTCATGGACTTTAACATCAGTTTAAGGGGCCAACCAAGACTGGCATATTCTGGGAGTGTAGGAGATAACTGTAGCTGACTTGTTCGGTGACGATCAAGGGGGAACAAAATCCGCCACTTTAACGTGGTGACCGGGCCCCATTGCTGTGGTCATTTCGTGGGCCAAGGGGCGAGATGGCCCAAGTGGTTAGAGCGCGAATTTACTGACTGGAAGACCCATTGTTCGAACCCGATCTCTGCCTTTTGACTTCCCCTGTCTAGGCTTGGGCAACCTAGCAGTATCCCAGGCCTCGTGCTTCCTTCTGGTGGCATGGCAGTTGGACACCGGAACAGTCCTACAACTGGACGATTTTTTTCCGTGGGCCATACTGGGAAGGTCCATGCTAGGAAGGTCTAAAGTGAGTAGTCAGTCAAAGGACAACGAATCCCGTAGTGTGTCAATCGTATTATGAGGCAATGCGCAATTGAATTCGTACCGTCTTCCTGGATAACAGTTTAAAGGGGACCAGCAATGCTATCTTTTTTCGAGAAAGGACAGGTTAGAGAAGGTCGGCCTAAAAATCACACATTCCGATGGATCGAATCAACTCTTATGATCGAACTGCGAATCGCTTCTACCAAGAGTTCTAAACGCATTTGCGTAATCACATCAAAAGTAGGGATTTCATGCCTAATTCCTATACCGCAGTGCCACGCCCCTCCCTGCAGTCAAACAGGTAACACATTTGGGTCGCTGGTTCCGGGTAGGGTGTCTAAAAATGCTTCTGTCTTGAGAAGCAGAGTTGAAGTCGCAAACAGAACAAAATACTACATTTTTAATTGCCGCGTAGGGGTCTAACTGTTGAGTACCTCAAAAAAACTCTTATTCATCCCAGAATAATGCCATGCTACCCGAAGGTTGCACGAAGGCTGGGATACTGCCATGTTACCCAAGCCTAGACAGGGGAAGTCGAGAGGCAGAGGTCGGGTTCGAACCAGGGACCTTTCGGTAAGTAAGCTCGCGCTCTAATTCGGTCGGGCTAGTTGATTGTTGCGAAATAGTCACAAGAGTTACCACCAAAAGCAGCATTGCCGAGTTAGTATTTCAGACACAACTGGACTGGGGTAAAACCGTATCGGTTGCACGAGCCAAATCGCGCTGGACGTACGTCACAATCATGGTAGGTGAATTACAACAGGCGCCTCCGGCCCAACAGCTTAGGCTGGAGCAGCGCGGGCAACAGACACGCACGTTTGTATGCATGCCATGGAAAAATGCGGCGGAAATTGTCGGGCCCCGGTATGTTTCGTCCCGTTCATGGACAAGTCGGGCTTTGTTTTCGTGTCATCTGTGATTCATCCATTCGGAAAGTGTCGTTCCAAACGGTATGGGCACACGCTAGCAGTCGGCGCACAACCACCCAGCCAACAAACGCAATCAGCTGACTGGGGCGAGCGACGCGATACTACTGGCGGCGGGAGTCAGCCACCCAGTTTAGCCGTTTTTCTGCAACCATTTTCGTCACACTGGTCACAGAATGAACGTGTGAGAATGGGTGTGCCAAAACGCCGTATCGGGCGCCCAGGGGAATGGATCGCATGGGTTGTATGTGGATGGAAACTTCACGAGAAAGATGAGCGCGCCAAGTACTCATAACTGGTAGCACAACAACACCTTGGGTGAGTCAGTGCTGACCAGTTTTATAGGAGTGGTTGCGTAGCGATCGGTGTAGTGAAATAAGCTAAACGGGTGTGAATTCTGTGTGTGCCTGTCTAAAGGTATGGCGGTCCTCGCATTCCAGGCTGATGATACCGTTCATCGGTGTTCCAAGCCTTTATGCAACACACACGGGTGATTGACAGCTGTGATCGGCAAAGACTTGAGTGCACACAAGGACAGAACAACGATTTGAGTTACATCCCCGGATCAGTGAAAACAGCTCACAGCACGACGATATTCTACACTTGACAGCTCGGAATATATGCGTACTCACGTGCAGATCATCAATACCACAAGCGGTGGTTATCACCCAAACAGCGCTAGACACAGTAGAACACGACTGACCACGTTAAGAAGAAAGTCAACTTATGCTCTTTGATTGCAGCGTTGACATCTCGCGGGGGGGGGGGGCACTCTTTCAGAGTGGACTGTCAGTATATTTCATCCACCATCAACGAAGTGTTCAGGTAAACAAGACCAGGTCACAACGGGGTCAAAACTCGACTTCTTGACAGGAACCAAGGTTTGCTGTATTCGGCCCAGGGTCGGCAAAATCAATGCAGCCGAAAATCCTAACACAGGAGTAAGTACTAACAAACCAAAAACCGAGGGCAGCAATCGATGGTAAACAGGGATGGATAAGTGAAGCATGATTCACTTGAGGAACGAATAAACAGTCGTGAATACCACCGTATAGATCAAGTTTCCATTTTTATGGTTGATACGTCACGCACGATTCTACAATGTGCAAAAGCTCCATGGTGTTTGATAATCGTGGGCATTCAGCTCTGCTTGCGCCATTGACGCTTAATCGCATCGAATGTGGAAGCAGAATGTGGTCCGTTCTGGGACAATAAGTTGTCGCACCTTTTTGCTATTTTACGCCTGGAAGGTGATCACACTTTTGTGAATGCTACTCTTCTGCGGTTCCGAGCGCTCGTAAGAGTCTAATCAAAGTTCGCAACAGCCACAACAGGAAATCTACATCTGGTGGTTAGTGATTAGGCGCATTGCTGAATGGCGTAACCATTCATGCTATTAACCCATCACGAAGGGACTGGAACGGTTTGGCCGCCTCCATAATCCACTAAGCTATACTGGGGAGTGTATAGCTCATACTAGGTTGGTCAATGGAAAGTCTCGCAGTCCTCTGGTACTCCAGGTTGGGGGTTAGAACATGGGTAGCGACTTGCTCCTCAAAAATGTAGGCCGCTATGACAGTCAACCACCGCTGTGTTCCAGTTAGGCTTTGGTTGGGGACCGTAACAGTTCCCCTGTCTAGGCCTGAACGCCATGGCGATAGCCCAGCCCACATACAACCATAAATTACGCACACCACCAGAGGAAAACGCGAATAGACTGTCCGACCACGGTGTATGCACACGAAGGCTCAATAGGTGTTTGAACCGATTGCTAGTCGTCTAAAAGTAGTTAGCCCTTCACAGGATGCTCGCCTTCACCTTGTCGCGTCAGCCAAGGTACTGCACCCGGAGGGGTTGAGACAGTCCAATTCACACTAGTGAAGAGTGAAGAGAAAAGGATGGAATGGTCCGGAATGGAACCAATACAGATAATGGGCAGTAACCCGAATGTGGTATCATGCCACAAGTGTGATAGGACTGACACAGTGCATTTCCCTAATCCGTAAAATGCATCGGTTGGTCTACCCAACCCAACCAGGGCTTGTAGTTCGCAATGTACCTTCACAGATGGTCGTGTGAGTGTGTGTGTGTGGGGGGCCTCCGACATCCAACTCAATATTTTCTTCCCATGCTGAAGAACTACCATGCAGAAAAGTTCAGAATGATTTTTTAGCCCTGAAAGCATGTTCCACTACTACTGGAGTATGACACCGGTATGAAAAGACACGAGAGATTAAAGCACCACAAAACTCCCACTGCATGTTGTGTGATTCGTAATACCGTTTGGATAGCCGACTGGCAGCACGGTCAACAGAACATAAAACTGCACGAATTAGATTATGCGTTGCTTGGTATTCCGCAGTCCTTGATACCATAATCACTTTCCGTGATTGGTAATGGGCAGAACCGTGAGCGACGCGAAATAGTTCACACAATTCGTTCACCAGATTCACTGGTAGTTTTGGGTCAACCCTGCGGTGTTATATATATCGTTCAGCTGTAACACCCTTTCGGTGCATAGCCGCCATGCCACACGAATGAGGCACGAGGGCTGGGATACTGTCAAATCGCCCAAGTCTAGACAGGGGAAGTCGGGAGGCAGAGGTCGGGTTCGAATCATGGACCTTCCGGTCAGTAAATTCGCGCTTTAACCACTTGGTCCAGCTCGCCCCCACAGTGTGTTCTTCGGTCGCTCCAGAACCAATAAAAGATCGATGTGCGTTGATGGATCTCACGATGAATCATTGCGATCAGGTCAGGTTGTAAAATGAGTAGACGGCTTACTAAATCGACATTATTAGGTCTGAAGGGATTATGTGGAACGCTGGTCGCGTTTCCCACCTAACTGCCACGTGTGCAGTTAACTGGTGCTCCAACTCCGTGACCGACGTACTTCTGGGTGAAGCCCACAAACGCACGGACAATCACAGGCCCCGGAACTAATACCAGCCACACACGGAACAGTGTTGGATGACTCGATGCAGGGGCTAGCAGCCATCGAATACGCTACCGATCACGCTGACAAAAGTCCGCCGAGGTTCGGTTAGCTTACCACCAAAGCGAGATTGGAATGAAGCCGCGAGGTTGATGCTGCTTCATTTTTACTACACCGGGGCTCAACAAAACTTTACAACATCAGTGTTGTTACGGGTCAACATATGAGTGATTCCTAAGGAAATTCGGACAACCTGCGAAGCCCCAACTACTTTAAGAAAACGGCACCCAGTTTAGGAAGCTTGGTACTCGGATACAAGTGTATGAAATTTGGAATCCTAGAAAAGATTGACTTTGGTGTTAAGTTAGGTTGAACTGCCTTGTGGGGTCGTATGTAGTTTGAAAATACCAGACACAACGCAAACGTTTCCATCCAAGAACGTTCAGTTGGAACACGTGCTCAGAGAATCCGATCATTCCAGTCGATAGCACTATAGAGACTATACCGTACACGCACACTGTTGAAATGTTCGGTTGAGTGGCGCGGAGAAAAGCACACGCCAACGAGCGTGAAACGATCGAGTGCAGAATATGTAGGACGCACTTTAATGCTCGGAGGATAGTAAGTCAGAATTAAATTTTGCTAGGCGGGTGATTAGTAGAAAGTTTGACCGTAGTCGGTTGGAAACGCGCTACCAGCCTTCATGTAGGGTGACCTATGGGCATGTGTTTGAAGTATACGGCCATAGTAACAGGACGATCAACATTTGGTCCCAATCCGATCAAGAGTTTGTGGGGTACATTAACGAATCGAACGTACAGAGTCGCAAAATTCCACAAGCCGAAATGAGTGCTGCTCCGAGGCGCGAATGGAAATGCATCCGACAAAATGTCAGGCAAAGCATTGAGAAGGTCATGTACGGGTTGTGAGGCCTAATGGCCTGGATATTTCGCTCCCCTTCTACAGGTTTTTGACCGCCGATGCTTCAGAAATCGAGCTGATGTCGGATTTTGTGAACGAATTTGTGACGAGGTAGTTAGAAAACGGATGTTTGGTTGTGCAGCAGGTAATTCAGTCGCGGAAAGTAGTCAGTGCAATCAACTACAGTGGTTCAGCCATGTGCTACGCATACCGGAACAGTGTCTACCGGGACCAGTGCCGTGCGCCGTGAATTTGGCAACGCATGACGGAACGGTTTGAAAAAGATGACGAAAGATTTTGTTGGTGGTGGTGGTGTGGTACGCCTTTCAGGACGAGGCTCCCGTGACCCCGACTGCGCTTGACTGAAATGGCGGCTGAGCGATATCAGTTTGTTTTCATACTTGGAGGTGTTGACAGTTCGGAATGCTTGCGAGAGGCTAGCACCAAATTCCCTCCTTCATCCACTTCTTTCTCTTCCAGTCACTTTAAATATAATTAGAGAAACTTTGTGATTGTGGAGCATCAGTGTCAATCAAATGATGTTGCTGTTTCTTTTGATGATGGTGATGATGATGATGATACCTTCCTAGAATGGCGCCATAGGATGTCCCTCTAAACTTATCGCGTCCGTCCTTCAACCGTGTGTTTTCACGCCAGTTTTCTCGGGTAAATCGTGTTTCCAAAGGAGTCCATGGTGACCAATACCCATTTCGTCCCATCTACTAAATGTAATGCTTATCGTTCGGTTCTCTGTGTCAGCGCGGGACACAAGTTACTTGCCCCTCGAATCACAAGATAACCGGTCACACAGGACGAAATCTGTCTATTCTAAAGGCGAAGACAGAGAGAGGATTTCGCACCAATTATACGACTGTGATAACCGTATTAGACCAAGTCACATGAAGGAGCACGTGAAACTTGAGTATTTTCCCTAAGTGGTTAGGTTAGATAAGAACAATAGGCTGGGAAAAGCAAGAAGAGGCAAAAACAGCATTTGCTGAAACCGGGAGGCAGAGGTGACAGGCAGTTAGATGAGGATGATAGACAGGTGTTGACCGGGGAAAGGGAAATGAGGTGTGTGTGTGTGTTCAAACTATCATTGCTTGCGCCCATGCTGAGATCGTTTTGAGTTAGCATGCGCACACCATCCAGACTCGCTACCGAAGACACACGCATATTCGCCAACCGCAGTGGACCCATGAATAGGCTTTGACCATGTAATGTAGAAAATCATTTGGTGTTAACCGATTCTATTTCGTTTACCAAGGTACATCCACAATAGACGGGTTAGTCATAAGCCATGTTGCACTGGTCAGGCCATGTACTGCGCACACCAGAGAAAAACTTCCGGCTGTAACACCCTTCCGGTACCAAGCTGTCATGCTATCCGAAGGAAGCACGAGGGCTGAGATACTGTCAGGTTACTCGAGCCTAGACAGGCGAAATTGACATCTAGATGTTGGGTTCGAATCACGTACCTCCGGGTCAGTAGATTCGCTTGCTAACCACTTGAGCCATTTCACCCACACCAGAGAACCGTCTACCACCAACGGACATTTTTGAATGGACACGTACTAGGTGGAAACGGTATATGACCTGGCGAAAGTGTACGAAGGGCCCCAACCAATAAGCTCAATCGATCAGTGCCGAGGTATACCAATGATGGCAAAACTTAGCTCAGTCGCGCAGTTTGTGGCGCCCCTTATCCATGCTGTTGCCCCAGTAAGTGGTTTCTCAACTTCCTACCTCATCAGACAACCAGGACGATTCAGCATCAAGTAACGGATTGGGCAATCATCCCTTGTTCGGTGAACGGAACTGAAGTAGCTTGAATGACTACAACAACAAATCACGAAAAAAAACAATCGTTCAGGTGTAACACCCTTTCGTTGAATCGGCCAATCGAATTGAATGAATTGAATTGAATTGAACTGAATGCCAATCGAAGGGAGAATGGGGGCTGGGATACTCTCAAACCTCCCAAGAGATGCAGAGAGTGGGTTCGAACCACGGGCCGTTCAGCCAATAAGTTCGTGCGTTCGTTCAACTGTAGCATCCTTTTGGTGCCTAGCTGCCACGCCACTCGAAGGTTGCAAGAGGGCTAGGATACTGACAGGTTGCTCAAGCCTAGGCAGGGGAAGTCGGGAGGCAGAGGTCGGGTTCGAACCACGGACCTTCCGGTCAGTAAATTCGCGCTCCAACCACTTAAGCCATGTCACCCGAAGTTCGCGGCTTACCCTGTGAGTTATCTCAATTTCAAACCAGTACGACCTTGGCGCACAATGCGTAGCTCAATTACTAAACAGTACTGTTCGAGATTGAGGACGTTACTGCATGCAACCTCCCCTCCCCCAATTGTCGGTGTTGGGTTTTTGAGCTAATCTCAAAATGGACCTCTGTGTGTAAACTAGTCAAAAGTAGACAACCGGGTTTCTGAGATCCTGTCAACAGGGCACTTTCAAAAACGACAATAACAAATAACGAAAACCATTCCAACAGTATTGAATTTAGAAAGAATTGAGCGAAGGAAATCGAGACGATGAGAGTCAAGAGTTTTTCCTCATGAGTTTTCAACGTCATACGTATCGAACAAAGTCCTCAATCCAGCCAATTGGCTTCTTCTTGAATACCGTAAGTAAAATGCACCAAGCTTAAGCTCTCAGGCCTTTCCGAAAGCGGCCGTTAGTCAGCTATTCACAGAGAACCTAGTTGCCTACGTATTCTGTAATTCCTCAAGACAGATGAGTAAGCGGAAAAGGTCATTGGTTCAGAATTCGAGAGTAACCCTCTTAAAACGGAAGGTCCATTAATCCGTGGCTAATGGCAAACACGATTATGTACTCTTCAAGAAGATGGCTTCTATTCGAAGTGATCACTGTTAAGGGGTACAGCAGTATTGTGTAAGCCAACCTATAGGAATGACGGCTGTGCGAAACTCAATCGTTTTCCATAAGCTACAAAAACCTGTTCATGGTAGTCAGAAATTAACAGTACCTCAACGTCGAGAACGTATTCTCGGACAATACAGACTATCGTATCGTGAAACAGCAGCTGCTCCACGAGAGACACGTCTCCTTCGTCGATCTTGAACTTGGATAACCCTGGGACCTGGTTGGCTGAGTAACCATTTTTCAGGTCTTTCAGCACACATTGGTTGATCATTCCAAGCAGATTCAAACCCACGATTACCAATCATTTCCTGCAACCACCCCTGGGAATTCGAGTGAGTGGGACAAAAGCGAAATTCAAATAGATGGTTTGCACACAGTGTCTTATGGGTCAAAATCAGCGACGGTTCTGCGGAGAATGAAATGGCACGTTGACTGCTGAGAATTTTAGTGTGTCTAGCATTTTCAGTCTTTCGGGCCAACACATATCCGTGAGAACGGATGGTCGAGGCCGAAGAACAGTGGTATGCATGCACCAGCTACTCTCACGTGCACATTAGTTTGGTCTAAATGGGGGACCCAGCTGAATCTCTCGTTCGTGATAGCCTTCATGCTGTGTAAGTGAGAGTATTTGACAAATTCCGTCCAATTTATGCTCAAGCAGAACATAAGGCTGATGAAAACTCGAGGATGATGAGCCCCAATAAGGATGAAATCGGTGTTGAACCGGGTTATCAGCAACCTTATGAGTAGTGTGCTACATCTAGTAGCTGTACATTGTTCACCAGGCACCATTGACTTCAAAACAAACGGAGAAGACCTTTGAATGGGGGTGCCTATTCCCCATACCACATTCAAATAACTCTGTTGTGGATAGTTATCAGTGCAAGAGACTTTGCTGCCAACAGATACACACTCGTCTGACGGGCAAGTACCGGCAGTCAAATACGCTCGTTTACACACTAGACATCTCGTTGCCGTGGGATGACAACGAATAAACTGCCTTGTTTTAATAGGCTATTAGACTGACCTGACGAGCGCGCAAAATCAACTGCGTCCAGTTGGAACAGTAAACAAACCTGACGTAGAGCGCAAGACAAACAAACAAACATTGAAACATAAACATCAAGAGTACTCACGTGAAATCAAAGTAATTGAAGTGTACCACCTCCCCGTTTACAAAGTCTCGACTGAGTTCCAATAACATAAGTGGATACATAGCACCACGAACCAGTTGCCGCTTGTCTCCCAGCTCGAGTTGATCGAATCCTTCAAAAGATCGGATGGAGGTAAAAGTTAACAACATACCATAAACAACAATCGTTCAGGTGCAATACGCTTTCGGTGCATGCCAGCCGAAGGAAGCACGAGGGCTGAGATACTTACAGGTTGTCCAAGCGCAGACAGGAGCGGTTAGGAGCGGTCCGTAAGCTGGCGCCTTAACTACCGAGCTATCTCTGCCTAGATCAACTGCCATTCAGAATAAAAAAAACGTGGAAAAGGACACGGTGGAGGCCTGATCGAGGGACTTGTTGTATACTGACAGCGTGGTTCCTCTTCTCACGTGATCATCATACCAAGAAAACTTTCATAGGCATGTTCGAGTGTCCGTTCACGAACAATATCGAACTGCATGGACTACACAAGACCGAAGTGAATGATCACTGAAGAACCGACGATTTCACATCATTATCACTGACAGCAAAATTAGCATGAAACCCCGGGAGTGTCGTTTAGCCATATCAGTTCAGTAGGGTTAAACAGGAGAAATGGGGGGAACCTGCTGCTGATTTGTCACGAATAAGTCAGGTCTGGATAGAAATTGACAGCAAGAACGCTAATGACATTGAACAATAGCTAAATGATGCAACATCTCAGTGAAGTACTCAACTAAAGTTAACCGCCACATACGTCTTCACATCCGAGCGGTCTACTATCACGTGAATACTAGTGGTGAACGGCCTGTGCGTAGTTTTGGATGAACAGTTAAGTACCGAATTTGAGAGACCTATGTCGAAAAACAGCTGGAATGCTCAGGGAAAATGGGGGATGTTCTATGGGAAATACTGTAGTCCATAGAGACCCTTGCGAAGAGAAGTCACTCCCGAGATCAAGCCAAATAAGGGACCACTATTTCCAAATTTAGGCTGAATCTAGCAATGAGATTAAGTATACGGGCGAAATAGACTCATTTATTAATCAAATTCCTACTAACGGAGGACTCAGACGAATCTGGGCTGAATATCTCGTCCACAATAATCAACTAAATGGATTGTCGAGTATAGCTTTGTAATGTACTACTCATAAGGTTGCTGCAAATCCGTCGGCAGCCCACAACCGGTTTTGCCCTTTTTGGGGCTCATCAGGTAGGCGCAGTCCCCGGGTTTCCGTCGAACTTACGTTCTACTTGAAACCAAATTGCACGAAATTAGCGAATATACACTGATTTGCAAACTAAATTGGCTTTTCGATGGAGGGTTTTTCAGCAGTAGTTTTCAGCAACTTATGAGTAGTGTGTTCCACCAAGAAAATACAAGGAGATTAAAACCTAACAAGGGCTTTAGCAAGCGAGGCCTGTCTTCGTTGATGACTGACTGCGAGCAAATGAACTCAGTAAAGGTCGATTGAAGGTCTATTGTAAAAAAACAGCATAACGCAGCCAGTTTAGTGCCTAGGAGGATACATCAGTGCAGTCGGAGAATTCACCTATCAGCTAAATGAGTAGTGCTGGGTTCAAATCTAGGTTCGCGCTAGCTCACAAACCGATAACTGGAAAGAATCACCATACTTTCGGTCCGTAAATAAACGCATCCACGACTGGCTAACCGGTCCAAGTCACCCAGATTGGCAGGGCCATACACAGGACCGTACATATCCGAAGGCTGTTTACGCCCAACACCGCACGACCTTGGTTACTAATCCAGTTATCACCCACCGCCCATACATCCCCGCGAAATGCGCTCGTGTCATATGCGCATATGTGGCACCTGGCCTTGGCTGCTTCACGAGACGCGGGTGGACGCACACACACACACACACACACACACACAAGCGCGCGCACCATTTGGTGAAAGACGCGCGTCTATTTGATGCGGCCAGCGTCAAACAGGCTATCGTGATCCGAAGTGTTGAGTGGCCCATGTCGGCATGCCGATTTGCGCAGAATTGCAGTTGTAAGCAAGATGCAAACGTTGTGCGCACATCCTTTCGCTATTGTCCTACGCGTATGGACGTGTGTGTGTGTGCGCGCGCGTTTTGTTTATACAATTTACATCTCGGACTCACCGGTTCGACCTCGTTTTTGTGGATCGCCATTCCCGCGAAGCTAGCGATGGTAATCGTCCGTTTACGACAAGGCAAAAAGGGCAAGCCATAAACACATACTGGCAGCTGGTGCCCTCTGACTGAGTAGATGTATAGAATGACGTCATTCGCATTCAACATGTGCGTTGTATATACAACAGTTCCAATTTGTGAACGCGGCGCGAATGGAGGGTGGAGTTCCGCTATCTTTGGCTGATACCACTGGGCATTTATTTCTAATCCAAGGTATGATTAACATCGTAAAAATGAGTCTCTAACACGACGATTAAACAAATATAAAAATACTAAACCAGTAAAGTGTTTGGCAGTGGGGATATGCTTGAGATTACTGGTGAGTAGTACAGTCCGTTTGAACAGTTTTTTCTGGCCTCGCATGATCAAGCTGGACCAAAGAGCGAAAATAGGCTTTCCATGTTTGGTCCACCGTGGAAAATACATGGAGCTGAGACTGGATTCTGAGCTCTACTTTGTATCAAGTCACTCCCAGAGACCTTTACCGTAAGAGTTACAGTTGATGGGCATATTGGACAATAGAATCCCCTTAGAAAACAAGCCGACAAAAGGTCACAGTTCGCTCCATGGAAATCTCGACGTCACGAAGCCAGGATAGATGATGATACACCACCTGTACCACAACCGCAGTCTACAGTGTTTCGGCAAGTGAACTAGGTGCTGTACAGCAGAACACCTGTTTCCGAATTCACTAGGATCATCCAACACCAACAAAGGCGATGGCTAAAGAGGTCTCACGCCCGCACACGCTTAGAAGCCGTTTGTCGCAAGCTCACAACAAGATAGCCCATAGTGCAACCAGGTACACGGAACCTTTGAAGCTAAGCCTTTTCAATGCTACCGGTGGCGCAAGTTAGCGAACAGGGTCCCTGATTCACGTAGTTCATTCACCAGTGAGACTTCCATCAGGGCTTGTGCCAAGAATAAAACAGGTAAGCGCTTCGAATTACAAGGGGGAAAATGGCATAAGGTAAGCGCTTCGTAAATGCAAAGCCCGTCACCACCTCTCTCCTTCCGTTACTCTGGATTGGGCATGGAAAATAGCACTCTCTTCGGTAAACGATGGTTTGGCATACGCAAAACATGTCCCAACCATCGCAGCTTCTGGTGCTGGACACACTGTTCAGTGGAAGTTTCCGTTGCACAACCAAAAACTCGCTTTCACGACGAGACTCTGTCACGAAGAGACTGGACCCTACCGTGGTATGACGGTTCGCGCAGCTTAGCGACCCACTGAACTATATTGGCGGGTGTCCACGCGACACTCACAGAGTCTCTCATACCAGGCTGGTCAATGACTGGAGATCTGACAAACACAGTTTCCTGGTCCTCCAGGTTGGGGATTGGAAGATGTGGCGACCTGTTCCGTAGAAATGGCAATGTATTTGCATTTCCCGCCAAACACCATTGCCTTGTGATTAGGCTTTCGAGCCAGAGACTTTGGTTGGGGACCCTAACCGTCCTCCTGTCTAGGTGGACAGAGTGTCTAAGTGTGAGAGCCCTGACAGTATCCCATCCCACGTACAAAAATGACTTCCTTGAAAGCCTTATGGTGGAGGAAAGGATAAAGGCGGGCGGGGAAGGGACTTAGTGTTAGCTTACCAAAAGCCTTATGAGGAAAGGATAAAGGCGGGCGGGGAAGGGACTTAGTGTTAGCTTACCACAATCATTCCGAGGTGCCTATACCTCCAGACACTCACTCAGGCGATCTGGATAGAAACTGGTAACAAGATTGCGGCTGACCACAGTCGGCAGCCATATATTAAAGAGTCTTCAACCAGGCGCTGTGAGGATCACGTGGTCCCCATCCTGGAAGGCGAATAGCACCGACAGCACCCAAGCGTTTCGTGATCTCCTTCATACCTCTCTGCCAGGCCAAGGATTGGCCATCTCTCTATTTACGTCACTCTGAATTGGGCATGGAAAACAGCACTCTCTTCGGTAAACGACGGTTCGGCATACGCGACACGTCCCAACCAACGCAGCTTCTGGTGCTGGACACATTCTTCAATGGAAGTACCCGTTGCACAACCGAAAACTCGCTTTCTAATTGCCTCTTTACGGATACTCAAACACCAACCCACACGAGCTATGGTTCTGAGACAACGATTGTCGAACACCTGAAGACGTCGTCTCAGTTCCCCTGCTCGAACGGGTCACGTCTCACAGCCATGCAACAAAACAGAGGCAAAGCCGAAAACGGTGAGATGGTGGTTAGTCTGATAGCGCTCATCGTTTTTGTTCGTTTTCGAAAAAAAATAGGATGATGCTCTTGGCATACTCCGGATCGACAAGGTTCTCACCGGTGCCTATTCGAACGTCGGAATTGACTCATGAAGCAACTGAATCGGAAAGCAGATTGTTGATATTTTTGCCGGACACCATTTTTTGTAGGGTGGCAGCTCAAAAGCATGTGAATTGAGAAATCGTTCAGCTGTAACACACTTTCGGTGGCTAGCTGCCATGCCACCCGAAGGAAATACGAGGGCTGGGATACTGCCAGGTTGCCCAAGCCTAGACAAAAGAAGTCAGCAAATTCGCGCTCTAACCACTTAGCCGTCTCGCCCAAACCATACAAAGATGAGGAACAGTTGAGTATGACAAACTCCCGTGGCTTCTGCTATTAAGAATGCATGGTGGGGAGAATGCACTGATCGGTAGAGTCAAAAACAGCCTCGAAGTTAGTGTACGCCAACGTTCTGGATCATTTGTACATATGAAGCATGTCAAACGCCGAAAAGAATTTGAAGATATAGTTCACGCCTGATCGAAATACCGTTCGTTGTTCATCAGATCGATGCCTGATGTACCGCCATAGCACGATGAAGACATGTTGTAAAGGTGAGTCAGACTGACATCTTTGTGATTAGCATATACATTGTGAATAAGAATTCCCCGTTATTTGAACTGACCTTTCTCCCAGAAAGGTGCCCTTTATTAACTGGACAGGTGGAAAGCGTTCGGAGCTAGACGTTCCACGACGTTCGAGTAAAGGAAACGCCTACAGAGGGGGTCACCTGTGCACTCCATGTTTCCGTTACATGCAGTAACGACTCTGATACATTCAACCGAAGTAACCTATGCACCGACACACGAATAAAGTGACGAGCCAGTCAAATCAAGTAACGAACCTGATTCCTGTTCAGCGAGAATTCAGGGTAGAAGCAACAGTAATATGCCCTACTATATGTTTCGGGGTTCAAACAGAGAAGGCAGCTAAGGTGGACGGAGTTTCGATTGTCACTGCAGAAGAATCTAGGAGAGTTGCCGATAAGGACGATGCGAAGCGAACACAGCCGTTGCTCCTAGGGGTAGAATTCGTAGGAAGAAAGGAAGCAGTTTCTTCGCCTGCTGTTTGTGGCAAGTGAAGCGACGGGGCTGATGGCATCACGCGATAGCCGAACTCCATGATTGCATGCAGGTTTGGACCCTACCAGAGCATCCGAATCCAGAGAGAAGGACACCCATAGTCATTGACTACAGTTTGATCGAGATTGACCGTGACAAGACAACGAAATTTTATTATCGATCGTGCTGTCTGTGGCGTGGCAATTCCCCAATCACAAGACTCGAAAAAGCAGGAATCCCGGCTACCAAGAGAATGATGAAAGATGTGACCAGAATGAAGCAGTAAAACACCACTCACTCTGGTCCTCAGTTATGAACCTCCTCAGGACAACAAAGACAGGTGCGTGGCTTCCTTTCTTGTTGCTCGTATAAAAAAACCTGTGGCTAAATGAATATCAATTAAGAACACCACTGACACGTGGCCTTGAAACAGTGCAGCCGAAAGCACCGTCAGCACAAAACACAATGCACTCAACTACAGACAAACTGAGGAACCAACTACCAGAAACTGAAACAAAGAACGATCTTGTTATTCAGATCGTCTGGGTGACTTTGTAGTACCACTGAAAAAGTAGTATTGGTTTTTAGCGGAGTTCTTAACGCATTCGAGGATAGCCTACCTGGAATAAGTTTGACAAAGTGGACCACAAACCGGGCGTGGAATTCGAAGTTCTGCATCATACGATCCCATACTTCTTCGTCCCGTTCCAGCGTGTGCATCGGACGGCATTGGGGGAGAACATTGCTGCGGATTTTCTGAAAATGCGATAAATATGAACTGTGAAGTGAGTTTATGCAACATATTCCAGGTGTGACAAAGGTCAAATGTCGTCCGAAAAAAAACAGTGTACTAAAAAGCTTCGCGGATAGCTGGTACGAGATGGAACGCGGAACAGTCTAAGGTTTGATAAATGGACTGGCCAAATCTGCTTGCGACAACATCCTGATAAATAAATTCAACTCAGTTCTTTAGCTAAGGAAGGTCATGAAACGCAGTTTTACAACTTGCCAAATACAAGTCTGCCACGCGAATGAGCGAGTTTCCGAGATTTGTGGTTAGGTATTTTTCCACGCAGGTGCCACACAACTCCAAAAAGCTCCACGAAGACAAACGATTGTGGATTCGATCCCTGGACATTTCGTTTGTGAGGGGCGAGATGGCTCAGTGGTTAGAGCGTGAATTTACTGACCGGAAGGTCCGTGGCTCGAACCCGACCTGTGCCTCTCGACTTCCCTGTCTAGACTTGGGCAACCTGGAAGTATCCCACCCTCGTGCTTTCTCCAGGTGGCATGTCAGCTAAGCACCGAAAGCGTGTTACTGCTGAACGACTGACTGACCGCTCGTATACTCGCTAACAATAGGACAGCACTGTTAAACTTTAAAAAGTGAAACTCGATAGTGTAGAGAGGACTGGTACCCTTCTACAAGATGACTTCAAGGATGGACAAAGATCAATGGAGATGATCTAGACGAATCAATTGGGAGTGGATCGTTGCGGTGTTTCACGAAAACCAACACCATCCGGTCGGGAAGTCCGGTGGGCTGGTTGCGAAGCCGCTGGGAATGAACGAACGCTATATCCATCGATCTAACGTGCACACGGGAATGTGTGGATCTGCTAGACGGTTAGCGCACAACAGGTGTTGGTCGACCTGGCTCATGTGCACTACCTATGTATGCAAGCCAGACTAAACATCTGTTCCTTGCGACGGCCGATTCGACTATGATCAGTCGCCTCTCAGCGAGTCTAAGACGACGGTCACGTGACTTCCATCGCGCTATGCTAACCCTCGAATCAAGTTAAGAAGAGTCTGCGAACGCCACCGGAAAGTGTACCAACGTCAGAGTCGCTTCTGTCTGTCTGCTGACTGGTCGATTGAGGGCAGTGGTTCGCAAACCGGAGGAGAGTTCCCTTCAAGGGTTCCCCAACAAACAATGGGTGCTGATCTCATGTTCATTGATAGTCGTTTTTTCGCTAAATATTTTGTTCGTGCTGTCCGCCTGGCACTGACCATTGCCGAATCCACATGTGTGGTCGAAACTGCAAGACACGTTTTAACCGGTTTTGGGTTAATCAATGCAGTTGTACACGCATAAAATGGCAACATATTATGAAAATAGATGGATGCACTTTGTGTGTGTATGTGTAACAATACTCCCATGTGCGTTACCAGTACCCGAGGTTGTACATAAGAAGGAACGGTGTCCGAACACGCTTACGCTGCGAAGACAACCGTTCAGAACGCTTGGACTGTCAAAACTCTCCACGCAGAATAGGCTCACCGATACCATAACGAAAAGTCAGACGGAGAATGTGACAGGTCTTAAAAGCTCACAACTGACCAGGCCTGCCTGGAATGAAGTGAGTATGGACAGTTCGACAGGTTGTAGACGGTTACGGGGTTCATAGAGCGCACGTTCGAACCACCCGTTTGAGCATTCCTCCTAGTGGTGTGCACGCCAAAGAAGGAAAGCGCTGAAATCAAGTTTCGCTCTTGACGGAGCTCATCAACAGTGCATATTTTTGGCCGTACCGGGGGGCTGAACTCCGGATATCTGACATGCAACCAAATGAAACTAATCGAAAATCGTACATCCGGTTTCAAGTAAAAAAAAGGTTCGACCCGAATCGAATCGTTCAGCTGTAGCACCCTTTCGGTGCCTAACTGCCATGCCACCCGAAGGTTGCAAGAGGGCTGGGATACTGCTAGGTCGCCCAAACCTAGACAGGGGAAGTCGAGAGGCAGAGGTCGGGTTCGAACCTTGGACCTTCCATTCAGTAAGTTCGCGCTCTAACCACTTGAGCCATCTCGCCCCCCTCTCTCCGGTTGCAAGTGTCCATAGTGCTACCCACAATAGGTGAGTCAGTCGGTCGACACAACCAGTAAAGTTACTAGATCGCCGCCAGAGATGCCGGACAAACCAATCATATCGCTCAAGCGTAAACACGTTCGCCTGTTCAGACGTGAGAATTCAGATGCGTCCACCGTGCGCTGGTTGTGTAGCGATAACATGCTCGCCTCGCATCCGGAGTTCAAACCCCTACACGGTTAAGGATATGCAATGCTGATGAGCGAAACTCGAGTCCAGTGCTTTTCCGCTTTGACGTGGATTCAACAAAACAGTATCAGGACAGGAGAACAACTGTTCAAGCGACTGATGTGACGCGGGTTCGGCAGCTATTTGATCAGCTTTTGTAGCGTCGATCACGTTCACGTCACGCTGTACCGGTTTCTACCCCATCATGAATTCGTTCCCCACCATTACAACAGGGATTGTGCTATCCACTGGACCTATGTGCTCGGTGTTGTATTATTCTATGGCAACTGTGCTGACGTTTACAGGAACACCATGGGAAAAGATTACACCTCGTAATATCCTTGTTTTAAGGCCTGAGATGACGGGATTTTGGTGAGGCCGAGGGTGCTTCATTCACAGAACGCACTGCAAGCTAAGGAGGGTGGACTATGTGTTGCGCATGCTGAGTTGCTGCCTGTCCAGAAAAGAGCTTTTCTACGTTTTCAATCAATTGGAAAATGTTTGGGACCGATTACGAAGTCATCGTTTCAGAGGGGGTTGGTAAACAATCGGTAAACAATCCATCGATTGTTTACCAAACCCCTCTGAAACGATGACTTCGTAATCGGTCCCAAACATTTTCCAATTGATTGAAAACGTAGAAAAGCTCTTTTCTGGACAGGCAGCAACTCAGCATGCGCAACACATAGTACAATCGGTAACAATCCATCGATTGTTTACCAAACCCCTCTGAAATGAAAGCTTTCCTACTCATTGAGGACCGAATTTGACATGATAGAAGAGAATGAAGAACTTTAGGAAAAGTTTGGTCACTGTTGATGCTGTTTGCCTTCCAGGACGGCGTCCGCATGACTCTCCTTCTGCTTGGCTGGAAACATTTAACGGTATGGCGTTCCTGACATCAGTCTCTATCCAAACTGTCTGACCGAGTGTTGGGGGTGTAGATACCTCAGAGGTTTGTTGTACGCTAGTGTCAGGTCAACCTCCCTGTCCCATTTCTTCCTTTCCATTATAAGAGTTTATTCAAATAAACTGACGTCGTTGTACGGCAATAAATCACGAGTGTCCTCATCTGGTGTTGCTGTCATTGATGATGCCTGTCGAATCCGAAGATGCAACAGGGTTTCAAGCGGTAAAAAGGATTCTGTTTTGATAGACCTGCCGATAAAAACTTATCGAAACGTAATTGCTCCACGTTCGTCGGCTAACAGGTGGCACAATGATCCCAGCTGCCGCATTGTTTTCCATCGTATTCTACTTAAAAAACCACTCAGCTGTAACACCCTTCCGATGCTTCACTGCCATGCTACCCGGAGGACGCACGAAGGCTGGGATACTGCCAGGTTGCTCAAGCCTAGACAGGGAAGTTGAGAAGCAAACGTCGGTTTCGAACCACGAACCTTCCAGTCAGTAAATCCGCGCTCTAACCACTTGGGCCATCTCGTCTTGTATTCTACTTATCTCACTCATGAAACAAGAATTTAGGCTCTGTATCTTAACGTGGCAGACGTCGCCCGATTTGCGCCAAAGGTTTTTTTAAAAATCGGATGTGGACTGAAATGAACAAAAGAGGTCATTTTGAGCCTAAAACTGACACGTTGTGGCGTTTCATGAGCTCGGCCGCGATTCCTGGGGTTCGCCAGAAACTACCACAAGTTCCTAATTACCTGACATTCATCAAACTCGTCCAAGGGGAAGCATGTTAAAATTTCAACCGCATACGTAAAACAAGGGGGAAACCAACAATGGTAACATGGTAACAATCTGCGTACCTGTCTACATGTATATCAGGGAAATTACCTGGAGAACCTTCAGTAGGTGTTGTTTAGCAACGAAATGGCGTTCCTACGGAAAGTCAGTCCTTCAGGGCTGGTTTTCGTTGGGACAAAACTCTCTGGTGATAGTACTGAAACCCGTTTTAGAGATTAGCGAATATACACTCATCTGCAAACTAATTTGGTTCTTTCGAGAGACTCACCTGGAACCCAGCTGAATCTCTCGTTTATGATGTTCTCAGGCAACTGAATGTGCTGCACCAGGCCGCCTCATGTTTTCAGGCAGATGAGTGTATATTCGCTAATTTCGTGCGATTTGGTTTCAAGTAGAACATAAGGTTGACGGAAACCCGGGGACTGCGCCTACCTGATGAGCCTCAAGAAGGACGAAACCGGTCGTGGGCTGTCGATGGATTTTCAGCAA